CTCTCACAACAACTCAAACCCGGAACTCCTTGTTAAGGATTGGAACAAGGATCACCCGCTTCTTAGTCCTGCATAATACTTACTGTGCTGCTGGGAACGTAATCTCTCATAATTAAAAAGGAAAACAACAACAAAAACAACAACAACAGCAACAACAACAACTACAACTACAGCACCACCACCACCACCACCACCATCAATAACAAAAGCAACAAAAAGAACAACAACAACAACAACAACAACAACAACAACAACTTCAACAACAACAACAACCAGACAAAGAAAATCAACGTCAGGTCGACTCACGTGACCCTCATAGACGGTGAGCGTTACAGGGTTGTGGTCAAACACAGGCTCTTCGTTCACGTCCGTGACCTCCACGATTAACCGTTTGACCCCTGTGCTGCAGCCACCCTTGTCCTTGGCCTCAAGGGTCAAGGTCACGCGCCGGTGCGATAGATCCTCGTAGTCCAAGCCGCCAGTCACTCGCAGGTGAGGTGGTTTGCTGGCTGGAAAAAACGTCATAATATCAGGTGCACATTCTAAAAAGTTCCGTCGAATCCCTATTTGATATGGTTTTACAGTGGTTAGGCTCTCAGACTCGCAACCTGCGAGCGCCGAAAAATACTTACAAAAAAAAAAAAAACAGCAACAAACAAAAGAACAACAACAACAAAATAAAAATTCACACCCGTAAGGATGTGTGTTCGAATCCCGTCAGGGGCCGACGTTGTGTCCTCGGGAACGACACTCTACACCAATTTTCCTCTCTTCGCCCAGATGGGAATGGGTACCCAGCTACAGACAGTGAAAAGATCTTGTCAGTTTGTTAGTGTTTGAGCGATTAACCAGCTGTATGCTTCCCGGGAAGCTGAGCATTTTCGGAGTGTTCTATGGTCTGCTGGGTAATAATGTAGTGTAAAGCGCATAGAGCTTGCTCTCCAGTGGGGATATGCGCCATGCAAATACTGTTCATGACTACTACTTCTACTACTACTACTACTTCTACTACCACTACTACTACTACTACTACTACTACTACTACTACTACTACTACTACTACTACTAC